GTTGGGTGCTGCTTATCCAGTGCAACACAGTCTTAGAGTCCGTCCATAATACGCAGTTGCTGATCGCCACACCGTGCTCCTGCTTGACGGTGTCCTTCTGTCTCGTGCCCAATGCTGCTGCTTGAAGTTCCAGTCGCGGGATCGGCATAGTCCTCATCGAAGCGCATGAGAGCTTATGAAATGCGCCTGCACGTCTCCAATAGGCCGCTGCTGGGAACGCCGACTGACTGGAGTCCACGAAGATGTGCAGCTGTGGCATCCGCACGCTTCTACCGCCAAAGAAGTAGCGTGGATATCAGAACTCTTCGATTTTGCTCATTCCTTGCCGCCAGTCCTCAAAGGCTGCGACCAAATTATCTGGTAGTGGCTCGTCCCAGTTGACTCCTCTCCGCCAAAACTCCCTCATTAACAATTTGGCAGTCACCATGTAGCAGCTCAGAAATCCAATCGGGTCAAACGTGGAAATGACCAGGCTTAGGAACTCCCTCTTGGTAGGGACGCGTTCCCCTGTCATCACGCTTCTCGGGACTCGATGATATTTGACGCCGAACTTGAAGTCGTCTGTAGCCGGCTGCCAGTACATTCCTAATAAACTTCTCCTCAGCTTCGGTCTATTTGACGCTAGTGATGGATTCAAGTGGGTTCAATGCTCTGATCACACTTGCCGAAATGGAAGTGAATCGACACAAGTCAAAACCTGCATCTGCATGAATTTCCCTCACCCGTGTCCAAATGGAAAGAAGCTATCTTCTTCACTGGTGAAACTGTCGACGTAGTCGTCCACGTAGTGGTATTCCTTAATAGCTGTTCGCGGATCCGTGCTGCTGTACTGCGAGGCACCACACTCCACAGGTACCTCTGGGCACATCTGTTCTGTGGCTACATCAATAAATGATGAAACATCTCCTTGATGTCTGCACAAACCCCAACTGCTCCTTCCCGAAAATAGAAGAGCACCGCTGGGAAGGGCTTGTAGCGCTGTGGGCCTTTCATTAGCGCTGAATTAAGGGAAACGCCATTCACCTTGGCAGCCGCGTCGAAGACCAGCCGGATTATTCCACGTCTGTTCGGGTTTTCCACCCCGAAGTGCGGCAGGTGCCATAACTTGCCTTCCTGGAATCTCTGGGCTTCCTGGGGCTACAGTCGTCGTGCGTACCCCTTCTTGACGTAATCGTCCATTATGCCCTTATAGGCCGCGCGAAGTCCAAATCGCGACGCATTTTTCCCTCGATGTTGACGAGTCTCTTGAGCGCCGTTTTGTAGCTCTCCGGACATAGCAGCCCGGTCTCATATCGTCGTCCTACTCCATTAGTCGTCTCCTCCAGGATACTCAGGGCCCGTGCGTCGTCGCCATCTGCGACTGTCAGCGCCAGCTCCACTCCGCCAGCTGCGACTGGCTGTGCCGGCATTACTCCGAAATTTTCTAACTCGAAATAGTCGCTGACCATCATCTCTGGACCTCTGGAGCGGTGACCTCGCCTTTCCGTACACTGGTCCATACACCACCCATCCAAGTGCGGTGGCTGCTGCAAATGGTCCTCCAGATCCATAGCTTCTTGTTCTAAGGGGTCCAATTAGGATCCTTGGCGTCGCATTATTGTACGGCTTCACAGGTAGACGTGCATTCGCCTTCACTGCCTTTAAATTCTTTCGGCTTCAGGCTCTGCATCGGAATGTTCAAGTTAGCCACTCCGTACACGTTCTTCAGCCCATGGCGCTTTGGCTTGCCCGCTGCACTGATCTGCAGGCTGACCACTTTCGTATGCTCTTTGGCAGATTTCCCACCAAACCACTGCACGTTCAATTGGCGACTCTAGCCTTTCAGGTTCAGGGTGCGGATGAGTTCGTCGTCAAAGAGCGTGACAGACGATCTTTCATCCAGCATAAGTGTCGACCTGCGTATTCTCCCCATACAGCGTCACGGGTAGAGTCCGGAATAGTAGGTGGCATCAAATCGAATGAACGCAGCTCAGGTTTCGATGCGGCAATTCCTGGCGGTCACACGTTGATCGCCTTTCATCCTGCTCACGCCCCGCGTCTATAACTGCGGCTGACGTAGGACGGCTCCTCTCGTTGGAATCCACAGGTCTTGGCATTCCTATCCGTTTGCTGCTGTCTCTGTGCAGCAGTTGGTCTTGCTTCTCTGATCCCTTCTACAGATCCGCGTCGTTGTAGAAGCGCTGTTGAACTCCTTGCAGTCCCTGATCTGGTGTTGTCCCTCGTATATAGGGCAACATCTAGGGCGGTCGGCATACCGCTCCTCTTCGCTCCTTCGCTTCGGATGCTCCTTGGCTCCAGCGTCCGTGACAGTGCACACCAGTCTTGCGAATTCATGAAGCCATTCGCTCAGGTGCATCACTGTCGGAAACGGCTGTATCGTGACCGCGTGCTTAGCCCAGTCCAACCTCTTTCTCAGGGTGGGGTTTCCTAGGTGCTGGTTGCCGATCGTGGTTGACTGCAGGAACGCTGACAGGTTGCTCACCTTCGTCGCGAACGGCAGGATCCTTGCGATGTTGGCCTCCTGAATTGGCTGCACATCGCGCACGCTATCTAGTTGGCTAGATTCGGACGTCCATACCGGAATCGAAGCTGCTCCATAACAGCTTCTACGTTGCTGGGATGGATGAGCAACGACTTCACTGTCTCGCAGTCCTCGCCCTTTAGGGCTTTTACTACCCTCTGGTTATTTTCCAATTGGGTGCACTGGTAGGCTGCCGTTGTCTCCGTGAACGCGCTCACGAATATAGGCTATTTCTCTGGCTGACCCTCAAATTCGGGAAGATCAGGCAATCTACTTTGCGTCCATCCAGGTATGCTTGCCGTCGCCACACCAAATGATGACCACCCAAATTATGTGTCGGCTCCCGTGGCGGGTGAACATAACCCAGTTCAGGCTGTGCCGTGGCGGTAACACAACACGGAGAATAGCCAACTGTTGTTGTTGTACAAGTCCGTGTGCCCAATAGCCGCCAAGCGTACTCACCAAATTTCCAATCAATTGTGGCGGCAAGTTTGCATTCAATTGCGCCAACTACTGCTCATCGAAAGACGGCGTTACTCCAAGCTCTAGTTGCAGATTGTCACTCATAACTTGCCTGGGCAGGTTCTCATTGCAGCATTCCACTCAAGCACCGCTCGCTCCAACGCCGCGTATCCCGATTCCAACGGGATCAATGGCGTCCTCTGCTTGTCCTTCACTTGTCCTTGCCTTCACCAGCTCCGATTCTAAATGTGCGATCCTTTCCATTAGGGCCGCCACTTCTACAGTCGTGGAGTCCGTAATCTGCACCGTTGCATCGGGCTGCAAGTTACTTGCCGCTTTTCTGGCGGCGTTCCACTTTCCTCGGAGTCAGTCTGCCTGGTTGTCAGTTGCTGTGACTATGGTGGTCGCAGTGGCGGGAACACCCGAGACATCCAGTCTGGGGCTCCGTCAGGGCGAGTGCTTCGTTGCATCTCGCAGAGTGCGAATTAAAGATAATGTCGCCGCCTGGCGGATCACGGGAAATGCCTTGGAACAAACGCTGGACAATAGTTGGAGTTCGTTTTTATGCGTTTTGGCGTGGGTGTGTGCGTTGTTTTATTGAAAGAATTACAATAGGTACTTAACTCGTACATTAACTTAATTAGCCTACCGCAGTTTCTCTCCCCTCTTTGTGATGGCGCAAATCGGTCTAAATGATCCGCCAAAATATCGTTTCCATTTACCCGATTCTAGTGAGGCCGAATAAAAAAACTAAAAATACCAGACTTCATATAATAATGACTTCGACGTTCGGCGCTAAGTTTGAACTTGACTAACTATCGATAGCTCTAATTTTTGCAATGTTTAATTTAATTGAGCAGAGCCGAGACATCAAATTTTATTTTCGGAATGAAAATTCTGGTGCGGAATCGCTGAAGACGTTGCGAAATGCGTTTGGTGATTCTACCAAGTTGCAAAAAAATGATGCTGATATGTAAGTGATACGACTTCAAAGTGGGTAGGCAACGTGTTTATGAAGCGTTCCGGACAATCATCGACGTCAACAGAGGACCAACAAGTCAATGAAGTGGATAAATCCGTCTCTTAAAAGTTGATTAATAAAATAATATCGGCCCAAAAACGAGTGTTAGGGGACCGCAGAGGAGCTAGTTTTCCACCGACATAAGCTATTTATGCGTAGACAAGTTCTTAAAACTTGACGTAGTACAACCATTAGCGTCATGATTATTCGCGGACTATTGATCGAAATATAAGGATTAAATTCGGAATCTTTATTGATTAAAAGCCAATCTATCATACACATAACAAATGCCCCCAACTTAATAGCAGCTGCAATGGGGAAGGGTGTATAGTAGTGTAAAAAGATGGCTTCAAAAAAATGTACCTGTACAGTCTAAGACGTTTTACGTCCAATATTAGAATACAGTAAAACGCTTAACTTGTCTACAGAAAAAATACCACTAGATAAAATACATTTATGATCAAAGGAAAGCCCGACAGGTAGTGTTAACTATATGATAAAAACTGTACCTAAAATATAACAGAATATTAATACAGAATATTTAAACGGTAATATATTTTCATAAACTCGTCCGTCACGTTTTAGTTTCGAAAAAGTTTAGTCACATTAAACAATCAAATAACTTTACCGATTTCCAAAGCATTTTAGATCATACGATTAAAATATCTGATTTATTTATTTAATCGCATATGTGGAGGATAAAATTCAAAATACATTGTTTGCTTTAATAGAATACCATTTTAGGTATGTCGATCAAAGGATTTATCGGGTATCCCCGATTTAAAAAAAAATAAATCAAAGTGAGTCATAGAGAAAACATAACAAACTAGAAATCATTTAATAAATAGATCATTTATAAAAAAAAATCATAAGTCGGAACGGAATTCAATTATTGAAATACACAAACCGATGCCCATAGTAAAACTTGCTAAATAAAGCTCCCGGAAGTCCAATAGTTAATCTTATGACAATATAACAGTATGGGTACTAAAAAAATGTTTTAGAAGCCTTGCATTTATTTGCAACACCCTTCATAATTATTTAAAAAAGATTTGGCAATCACCTGACAGTTTACCGATTATAATTAAAGCATATACTACATTACATTATAAATGGTTAATACATTCTCTTTTTGTTTAAACAATATTTTTATTTATTTAATCACGAAACGGAAAGTTATGATGCACACCGCAGTTTATATTTTGTAGTAACTCATAAGCTAAGCGCTGGGTCAGACACTGATAGTGCGGAAAACATTAAAGCCACTGTGAGCTGTAGAAAAAAGTACACCCGGCAGTTGAGCGTGCCAGTGTAGCTCTTTAATCTCGTTCTGGCCCTGGTGAATAAAAAGTAGTTGGGGTGGCAACTTGCTAAGCTTATCTTCGTTATCGGAAGGGGTCTGCTTCTGATCGGTGTCTTCCTCCACAGCCAAGTCCCATAATGCAATCTGGTTGTCGTCGCCACCTGAGGCCAGGACCGTTGCTTCGCTGGGACTCCACTCTACTGTTGTAATGTGGTCCGTGTGGTGTTTAAAAGTAGCGATAGGCGTTTGATTCCGAAACTGACGTAGATCCCAAATGTGAAGAAAGCCGTCGTCACCGCCACTAGCTATAAATGGCTCAGTGCGATTCCACGAAATTACGTTTACATCGCTCTTGTGAGCGTCCTGGCAAGTCAGCATGCAGGCTTTCTGTGGCGCCGTTCGACAGTCCCAAATTCGAATGGTTTTGTCCACCGAGCATGAGGCGAGCACGTTGCGCTCATTTGGACTCCATTGCAGATCCTCAACAGACTGTGAGTGACCTACCAGCGGTCGTTGGTCCACATTCCAGGTACCGCCCTCCATCAGATTCCACACGTGGATGTCCCTCCTACAGTCACCTGTGGCCAGTACACCCTCCACACAGGGATTCCAGTCCACGGCAAAACCCTCTTGGTGGTGTCCAGCGAAGGTAAATTCCGGACACATATCATTCTGTTCGTACTTATTTTCATCCAAGGTCTGCAGAGGGTAAGTTAGGTTCCAGATGTTGACGCGCCCAAGCTCGCTCCAGGAGGCAGCGTATACACTGCTGCCCAGACAACGGACACGAACACGATTAACACATCCTTGGTGTTTAATCAACGAACAGGTCATCTGCGGCTTCTTAAGTTCTATTCTATTCTCCACGTCGTCCTGGTCGTCATCCAACTCATCCTCATCTTCGCTGTCATTGTCCTGCGTCTTGTTCAGGTTGCTCATCCTCAGCACAATAAGGTTGTTGACGTGAGTTTGGGAAGCTTGCGTACCGGCCACGATGTAAGCGGTCAACGGGAACGATTCCCGCCCTGTGCCCAACACGTCGGGAATGATATCAAAACTCAGGCAGGGAGCTCCCAAGGAAGCCTGATGCAGCATAATGTATGCACTCTCATCACAAACCAGTTCCTCATCCACGGCAAGTTTGGTTCCGGGAAGATAGACCTCCTTTGACCTTTTGTTCTCGGAATAAACGTCCTCCGCTTCACTATCAGAACCTATATCACTCTGTGTGTCCTCCGGCTCCACTACCTCCATGGTGAGGTTTTCGTGTTCATCGGCCATGGCGTTTGATTATCCGTAAAAATATGCTTGCAAAGTAATTCAAGCACATGTAGTTCAAAATTTAAAGTGACCGTACATATTTTAGCTAAATATCAATTCAAATTCCTAAGATCCCACTAGCATTTACTTGTTTCACCATTTCCGTCAAGCTAGTGTCGGTGTCTTGGTGATGATGACGGAATGAGTAAAAATGAAACATGGGTTTTTTCTATTTATATATTTTTGCTATACTAACATAAACTCAAATAAAGCAATTTAGTGAAGGTATTAACGAAACGGACATTGTTTTTAACTTCTTAACATCACTAACAGTATTGACAGTATTGATTAATCTAGGGTTGTCGAATATTTTTAAAATATCGTATCGATGATATTTTTTTATCAAAAAATATGATGATAATATTTTTAAAAATCACCGAAAAATATCGATATATTTGATATTTTTGATATTTTTGAATGAAACAATTTTTTTTGCATAATAAAAAATAAACATGTTTTATAAATTTATAAATTTTTTAATTATTATTTTAACTAAAGCAAATTTAACACTAAACCCAATTTGCGGAATTTAAAGAATTTAAAAATACTCTTTGTTTGATGTGTATGTCGGTCATTCTGCTTCTAGCGTCGCTAAAAATTAAAACAAATGAATATATTGTATTTCTTGTATATTTCATTGAAATTGGAATTTCATTAGAACCCATAGACGCACATACTCATACACACACATGCCTTACATACATACATACATACCTTCTTTTGCGCGCATTTTGCAAAAACTTCGCTATGCTTATTGCGCAAGTGCGACGACAGATTCGATGTGTTTCCGCTGGTCTTTATTGTTTTAGTACAATGAATGCACTTGGCGGTGCCGCCTGTTATATTTGTGTAATTTGATTTAACATTCATTTTTCCGTTATCTTTCTATCTAATAAAGTAATCAACGCTTTAAAATGGAAAGGAAAAGGAAAAAATATCAAAATAATATCAAAAAAAAATATAATGATTTCGATATTTGGCCAAAACAAATATCACGATATAAATATATCATTTTTGGAAAAAAATATCGATATATTGATATTTTGATATATTATCAACAACCCTAGATTAATCTGCGGAAGCGTTGTGCATGATTTAGAACCTTTTGGTTGGTTTTTGATTTCAGCTCAATTTTTAATTCCCCATATATATTAAAAACACTTTAGTAAAGGTTATAGAAAATTTTGGAGATCCAATTTTATATGAGTAATTTTGAAATTTTTAGCAGAGCACGTCGGATACGACCAAGCATTACTTAAAAGACGTTTTTCTTGACATGTTATTTTCCTCACATTTTCATTTTTCTGATTTCTCTTCCAATAAATGAAAACAATTTAAAAATAAAAAACTGTTTCCGTGTTACAAATTACACCGTGCTAACCGCCGCCAAAACACTGACGATAATTGATTGTTTAAATTTATATATATAAACGTCTCTTGTGTTCATAAATTTTAGATAAATAATGATACATAAATAACCAAGATTATTTGTTTTATTTAATGTCCATAAAATGCAATGTGCTTATTTTGTTGCTCTTATTAATTCAACACATTCTATATGAAAGCTTCAATTACAGTGTACAAAGTAGAAAATATAGTTTAAGTTAACTACTTAAATTAATATAACTCAAAATTTTAACGCAATATTTTAGGTTTTTTATGGGTCGATTGACTTTAAAGAAAAACAAAACAAACATATTTTTGAGTTGATATCATTTAATATCGATATTTACAAATTATTTGAACAAATTTAAAAAGAATATCAATTAATTCGCCACGGCAAATTGTGCCCCATTCTTTTTGCCCCATTTTAAACCACTCTGTCGAGGATTAAAGGCAAATAATTTGCTCTTCAAATAATCCCACAGAAAGAAGTCTGGAGGAGTTAAATCGGGAGATATCGGTGGCCAGTCGATATCGCCATTTTTCAACATCAAACGACATGTGAAATGATGATGCTACACTCTTATGCTCCAGGTTAAGCCATCGGATGAGGGTTTATTTATGACTTTTTTACATATGTTGATATGTATACATGTATGTAAAGGGTGTTTTTTTAGAGGTATAGAACTTAAAGTTGGCAATACTGTTCAAAATGGCGATCGATTTAACAGCTTTTAAGTGATTTATTCTCAGTTTGGCTTGGCAATATATCATGAATAGACTAATAGACTTCTAAATAAAGCTTGCAAATATTGTAATTTTATTTCGGAAATAATAGTTAATAGTTAAAAAATCGTCCATCAGAGCAGTTAATTCGATTAACCATGGAACGTTTTCGTAACCACCATTTGGAAGACAACATTCGCCGTGTTATTGCCGATATACGGCTACAAATGCTGGAAAAAGTCATCGAAAATTGGTCGTCCAGATTGGAAAACAAGTAGAATCGGTGGTCAAGTTTGTGGGTGTTATGCTTGATCCCAGCGCTGGGAATAGACTATATACAGTCGGCACATAATGTATTCGTACACCCATGAGTTGGAAGTTTATTCCTTAATATCTCGAGAAATACGTAACGGAAATTGAAATGTAATATCTCAAATGAAAGATATACATTTCGAGTATGTATTATAAACATAAAATTAACAAGTTTTAACTTAAATACTAGTTAACTTCCTTAATAACACAAAAAAGTCATTTAAAAAAAAAACAACAATTAAATGGCCTTAATGAAAGCTTGTAAGCGTCGGCACATGCTCTTTATAAAGTTGCTTGTCTCGTCAGCATCAATTAAATCCCATTCAGCTATTAATGCGGGTTTTAAGGATTCCTTCGAGGACATGTTGCCCTTTAACTTTAAAAGGACCGCCGTGTCCAAAATTTTAAATTTTTGACTCGTCAATAAATATAACGTTCTCCTAAAACGATTCCGGCTTGCGTACATGCTCTTTTGTGATTTCCAAACGCAATTTTTGTTAAAATCAGAAATCAATGGGTTTTTACGAACAACTGTACAATGTACAAAATTTGTTTCAGAAATCTTTAGGGTTTTAAGAACTGTTATATATGTTGTTCTGGAATTTTGTAATGCTGTATTTAAAACCTTATGCCGTGGTGTCAATATATGGGGCCTTCCAGTTTTTCTATGTTCTACAGCAAATTCGTCAGTGCTTACGTATTTTTTTTTTATCACACTTTGCATTGTGGAAGATGACTTGACAATAATTCTACCAATTTCAGGTTAACTGCGATTCACCAAATATAATTTTATTATAGTTTTTCAAAATTTTGAGGATAAATCTTGAAAAAAAAAACAGCGAAACTAACTTAAAAACTTTGAGAATAGCACACCGAAGCTTTCTCCGAAGTACAGTTCTAAAAAGAATCGCGGATTACCGTTAAATTCAGAAATATAAGTCAAGAATGAGAAGTGTACAATTATTTTGTGTGCGTAAAAAATGAATTTTTTGCGTTATTAAGGAAATTATCTAGTATTTATGTTAAAACTTGTTAATTTTATGTTTAAAATATATTCTCGAAATGTATATCTTTCATTTGAGATATTACATTTCAATTTTCGTTACGTATTTCTCGAGATATTAAGGAAAAAACTTCACACTCATGGGTGTACGAATAAATTATTTGCCGACTGTATATAGTCTATTCCCAGCAAATAAAAACACACAGTAGTTAATCTAAATACATAAAAAATATAATATGCTTATTAAATTGAATTGTGTGGAGTATTAACATCAACTAATTATCAGCTCCTTAATTTTTGCCTCGTCGGTGTCAATCTCATTGATCAAGGTGTCTGCCAACGCGGTTGGCGTCATGCTGCGTTGCAAGAAGTTGGCCACCAGTTTCCGGCTGGGAACGGCTCCTCCGTGGGCTAGAATTTCGGACCGGTACTTCTCGCCTGCCTGTCGGTTGAAGGGGTTCGCTATGAAGTACGTCTGCCAGATCCAAGAGGCTATTGTCTTCGAAACAAGGTATGCGTAGTACTTGGCTCCGTATCCTACAAGGTGGGTGAATCGCTGCTGCCATGCAGTGTTCTCAACGTATGGAAGGCCATAGTAGCATCGCTGCACTGAGCGCAAGATCTCGGTGCTGCTGCCGCCGTAATGCGCCGCAACTCCGTGGTACGCCTGGTCAAGAGCTGAGTAAAACACCTGGAGCTGAGTCTCGCTGGCGGCAAAAAGATGTTTGGAAGCGCACAGTCGCATTAGCATGTCCTCGGAAATTGGCTGGTGAGTCTGAAAGTGGCGGGCGAAAGTTCGAAGCACGCGAGGATCGCCCGCAAAGTATTCCATGAGTACACTGGGGACTTCAGCAAAATCCGTTGAACAGCGCGTTCCCGTCACATGCTGGTGTTCGGTGCGACCTAACATCGAGTGCATGGCGTGGCCCATCTCGTGAAACAGGTTGTCCACTCTTGCTGGTGACAGCATCGTTGGTTCACTCCAGCGTTTCTGCGCTAAACCAAGCATAACCACAACAACGGGTAGCTGGTAGGAGCCGTCTGGCAGGCGCTTGCCGCCCTGAATGGTGAAGTGACAATCTTGGTTGGGTTTACCTTCCCGCTCAAAAAAGTCGCAGTAAATGTAGCCCAACAGACCTTCACTTTCGTGCACCACAGATAGTTTGTAAATGTCGTTGTGCCAGGACTCTCCTGGCTCCATATCCGTGTTCTTAAGCTGGACGCCATAGAGCGCCTGCAGCAAGTTGTTCAGTCCTTCCATGCAACCCCCAAGCGAGAAGTACGGCAGAAACTCGTTAGTGTACTTTTCAAGCGATTGCTGTTTTAGCCTAGTGGTAAAATAGGGCGTGTCCCAAACCTCGACCATTGCTTCGGGTTGCCCGGTCTCTTGACGTTTCATTTGAGTCATCTGCGCAAAATCGGCATCAGCGCGTGGTCGCAGCTTTTCAGACAGATCATCGATAAACTCGCGGACCACTTCGGGTGTCTCCATAGTGCTACCTTTTAGAGCCCTATGGGCATAGGTATCGAATCCGCAACTGCGGGCCAGCTCATGCCGGCAAAGCAATAGGTGCCGAAGTAGCTCCTCCTGGTTCTCAGACGGGTGCAGGTAAAGCCGATATGCGGCCTCACGCATATTGACATTTTCTGCGTTCGAGCACAGCCCAGAGACGATTACATTGTCGCCGTAGGTCGGAAAGCTAGCAAAAACTTGGTTAGCATCAGCCTGACACCGAAACGTATATTGACTTACTATTTACCAATGGCTTCAGGGACATGTCTACGCAGCAAAACACTAGGTAGTAAGGATCCATTCACAAACTTCTGGCCTAGCTGAAGAATGCTGTCATTCAGGCGTACAACCCGCAACCGCTCCTCCTCGTGTAAATGGATGCCGCATTGCTCAAAGTCAAAAAGGAACAGACGCGCTACGTGCCTGTCGATATCACTGGTTGTCAGTTTGTCCCCTTGCTTCACCACCTCGTTTAGGGATTTATAAATTGCCTTGTTTGTGTTGAGGCTTTCCACCACGCCACAAATGCTGATGCAAACCTGCTCTGCCGCCTGTTTGTATTTACATTGCGGATGCGCAATCCGTACGAACTCCGCCAGGTCTGCCACCTTGCACAACGAGTTAGAGAGCTCATCAAAAATGTCCACCATTTTTCTCTGCCGATTGTCGGATAAGGCCTCTGAGATAAGCTGTTGGGTCCGGCTCTCTACATTGTCGCGTAGTAAGAAGAAGCCCTCGAAACTACGTAGTTCTGGCAAACAGAAAAGGCCCTGAAAAGGAGACGGCCGCGAAAGCCTGGTTAATTGCAATGGCTTTTACGGAGTCTGGCACTTACCACATCGTTACGGGTAATATTTATCCGTCTGACCGGAGGCGAATTAAACGCCTTAGCCAACGGCGTCCACGTGGATCCCCAGCGACTATATTGCCATTGACGACATTTCAACATGGTTCGACTTAATTGTAACATGGTGCTTGTCTAGATTCGGACCACTCAAATTTGCTCATAATGGACTGATTAAATGTGCAATCAGCTGTTGACAAATAGTTGCAAGGTTGCCATACACTCTTTATTTAAATGGCGGGAAATCGTCAGTTTGAATTCAAAATTACAAATATATTTAATTTAACATTTATGAAAACTGGTTAGGATCGCAACTGCCTATATATATGAACACAAATAAAAATTTTAAGATCGTATCGGATAAGGCCCCTGAGATAAGCTGTTGGGTCCGGCTCTCTACATTGTCGCGTAGTAAGAAGAAGCCCTCGAAACTACGTAGTTCTGGCAAACAGAAAAGGCCCTGAAAAGGAGACGGCCGCGAAAGCCTGGTTAACTTCAATGGCTTTTACGGAGTCTGGCACTTACCACATCGTTACGGGTAATATTTATCCGTCTGACCGGAGGCGAATTAAACGCCTTAGCCAACGGCGTCCACGTGGATCCCCAGCGACTATATTGCCATTGACGACATTTCAACATGGTTCGACCTAATTGTAACATGGTGCTTGTCTAGATTCGGACCACTCAAATTTGCTCATAATGGACTGATTAAATATGCAATCAGCTGTTGACAAATAGTTGCAAGGTTGTCATACGATCTTTATTTAAATGGCGGGAAATCATCAGTTTGAATTCAAAATTACAAATATATTTAATTTAACATTTATGAAAACTGGTAAGGATCGCAACTGCCTATATATATGAACACAAATAAAAATTTTAGGATCGTATCTGCTACAATAATTAAAACCGACAACAGGGGTTTTTTTTTAATAAATATTGTCTATGAAGCAGGAGCATTCCGAAATTTACTCGGAATCGAGGAACCCTTGATGGATGCACAAATTAAGAGAAGCACAATTGCTTTTTGAACCTTTCTTCTTCTGAGCATTTAATTTTAACCAAAACTATAATTCAAATGTTTTTAGAAATTTTAGATTATAATAGCTTAGAATAAATATAAATAATACAATCCTACATAGTCCATATCACACCTTTCAATCTATTAAATAATTGTATAATTTTTATTTACTAAAACGGTGTAACAACTTTGACAGTGCACACGCGCTTTAAAGAAATCGTCGACTTCGCAGGCTGGGGACAATCCCACGGTTACCGGACAGAACACCTGTGGAGCGAGTGATCGTCAGGAACCGGATATCCAATGCTGATCCGGCACCTTGGCGACAGCGCTGCGACCAGACGAAGGCTTCTAGCGGCAGCCGGATCAGACCATTAAGTTAGTCTAAGAACGTACTCTACAGCCATAGCTGTGTAACAAATAATTTTTATAAAACCATTTATACTATCCTTTACCTTAACAGGTTTAGGGGAAATAAATGTGTAACAATTAAATATTGTAAAACCAATTATACTATCCTTTACCTTAACAGGTTTAACAAATCAATTTATTACTTAACGGATCTTTGCCCAAACGGGCCCGAGTGAAATTAAGAAATAATAATATAAAGGTCGGTACAAAAATAACTTATACATATCCTACAGAGTACCTATCGCAATTTTTAATCTATTAAATAATTTTTAACTAATTAAAACGTATAATCTTTATTTAATAAAAAGGTGTTTCAACTTTGACAGTGCACATTTTAGTAAACCATACCTACAACATATTATACAATTTAAAATATCTGAGGAGATGAAGACAACTGATTATCAGCTTCTTGATTTTTGCCTCATTTTGGTCACTATCAAAATTAATGTGTCGGCCAATAAGGTACGCATCATTTCGATTTGTTTACTTTGAAGGCGTTGCTATTAAATACTTCTGGCAGTACGATGACGCGATTGTCACCGAAACGAGGCAGGCGTAATACTCAGCTCCGTATCCCACAAAGTGGCTAATGCGCAGCTGCCGAGCCGGGCTTTCAACAGCATAGCACTTCTTCTCGGACGGATGCAGATCAAGGCCCATTAATAAACTTCCAACATGGCTAAAGAATGTCCACATTGAGACGCTCAATCCGTGACCGCTCCTTTTCGTGCAAAAGGAACACAATCGCTAGCTCTCTATAAAGGACATGGTTCGTGTTGAGGCTTTTTACCACGCTACGAAAGCTGATGCAGCCTGCGAGCCTTGTATTGTGAATGCGCTATCCGTTCGAACTCGAGTAGCTGTACCAACTGCCGACTGTGTCCGATATGCCCTTTAAAATAAACTCTCTACATTGTCACGCGGTAAGAAGCTCTTACCACATCGTTGCGAGTAAAATTTATCCGCCTGGCAGGACGCGCATTAAACACCTTAGTCAACGGCGTCCACTTAGATCCCCAGCGTTTATACTGCCATTGACGCCATTTCAACAAGGTACGACTTGATTGTAACAAGGTGCTGGTCTAAATTCGGACCACTCAAATTTCTTGCTCATAATGGACTGATTAAATTTGCAATCAGCTGTCGACAAACAGTTGCTAGGTTGCCATACGCTTTGCATTTAAATGGCAGGAAATCATTAGTATAAATTCAAAGTTACAAATATATTTAATTTGAAATTTATGAAAACTGAGTATGGTTAAATAATAGTTTGAGAATCGTATCTGCTACAGCAACCAAAACAGACAACAGAGACATTTTTTCAATAAATATTGTCTATGAAGCAGGAGCATTTCAAATTTTACACAGAATCGAGATTATACTTGATGGATGTACATATTAAGAGAAGCACAATTGCTTTTTGAACATTTCTTCTTTCTTTAAAAATAAAATTCAAATAAAAATAATTTCAATGTGCAGTGATTTATATAAGTTAACACACCCAGTTCCCAAATTGGGAAACTGCAGAATTTCGGGCCACATCCCGTGGCCAATACACGGAATAGGGAAACTGCCGACTCTGCACTCCGGGGACAATCACCCGGAGCCCGGTCAGAAGTGGTCAACACGCGCAATAAAGAAACCGCCGACTCTGCACTCTGGGGGCAATCACCCAGAGCCCGGCCAGAAGTGGCCACCACGCGCATTAAAGAAATCGTCGACTCCGCAGGCTGGGGACAATCCCACGGTTCCCGTACAGAACACCTGTGGAGCGAGTGATCGTCAGGAACCGGATATCCAATACTGACCCGGCACCTTGGCGACAGTGCTGCGATCAGACGAAGGCTTCTAGCTGCAGCCGGATCAGATCATTAAGTTAGTCTAAAATCGTACTCCGCAGCCATAGCTGTGTAATAAATAATTATTATAAAACCAAAATACCAAAAATAAATGTTTAACAATTAAATATAGTAAAACCAATTATACTATCCTTTACCTTAACAGGTTTAGGAGAAATAAATTAGTGAAACCTAACAAATCAATGTATTACTTAACGGATCCTTGCCCCATTGAGCCCGAGTGAAAGTAAGAAAAAACAAGAGGAAACGCTATAGTCGAGTGCCGCGACTATAGAATACCCGTTACTGTTTTACACAATTTTAAAATATTCATTTTGCTAGTGGAAATTCCCCAAGCGCCACCTATTGTCGGAGAAAGTATGTCGACTGATAGTGACGTCACTGCCCATGTGAGGCCTTATAACCTAAATTTCTTCATAAATAGCGAAATAATGTTCCTATTTCAAAAATCTTTGGTACATCGATAAATATTAACAGAAATAAGTTATACAAGGTCCAACGAAGGCATTCATAATATTATTATAGACGCCACAGTGTTACGTGGGGGCGTGGCCGGATGAAAACTCGTGGGAAGTTGTAGTGGCATCCCTAAAATACGTATTTTTAAGCCTAACTTTCTAGCTTTTTTAGTTTCGATTTTTGCATTTTGGGGTTTTCGGGTTTTGTGGTCGTTAGGGGCATCATAAAAATCTACATGCTTAATCCAAACGTTCTACCATTTATAATTACCGAGGTATCAGGTTTTCTTGAAAATGCGAAAACCGTATTTTAATTGTCAGGGGCAGATAATAGTACCACTAAAAGATGCGCTGGCATCCAAAGTTTATACATACTGAATTTCAACTTTCTAGCTCTAATAGTTCCCGAGATTTTAGCGATTTTAGTTTTTCGCATTTGTGGGCGTTAGAGTGGGAGTGGCAGGATGCTGAAATAAACTTGTGCTGTCCTGGGAACTCAAGAATCTTCATGCTTAATCTCAACTTTGTATCTGCTATAGTTCCTGAGAACTCAGCGTTCATACGGACGGACGGATGGACGGACGGACGGACGGACGGAAGGACGGACAGACGGACATGGTTTAATCGACTTCGCTATTGATCTTGATAAAGAATATATATACTTTATATGGTCGGAAACGCTTCCTTCTATCTGTTACATACTTTTCAACGAATCTAGTATACCCTTTTACTCTACGAGTAACGGGTATAATTACTCTACGAGTAACGGGTATAAAAATTAAGTAACGACCCCATGTACCGAAATAACAAAAAGCCTAGTCAGACGACGGGTTATTGCAGAGTATAGGAAACTTTTAGGCACAAAAATTGAAAGACAGAAAGCACTGCAAGAACAAGAAACTGAGACTTATTACAAACCAGCCACTAGCAGGGGGCATTTATTCTCCATCACCAGCGCACTCCAAAAACAACAAGAACTAATCGATAAAAAAAATTAGCTGCTGTTATAGGAGAGTTAAATTCACTCAAAACAAAAGATAGCACCCCACATATTCAGACATACCAGGAAATCGAATTGAAGCTTGAAATGCAGTAAAACGAACCCCATGATATGGTCAAGTCGGTTCCAGAATGTGACGGTAGGTGTAAAAGTTTTTTCAGAAGCAAATAAAAGACTGGGTAACAAGTTCTCACCACTATGCTCGGAGGAAACTATTGAAGCAGACCTGGGGACAACGGTCTTAATTAGAGGGAGGGTGGTCCACAAAGAAAACCTACGCTAACCATTCATCGCTAGACTACCGACCACTTTTTTATATATTTTATATTTTTTATATTTTTTATATTCATCTATATTTTTCTACATTATATAAAATACATTATAATATGGGCACTAATGGCTGTTAAGACGGACGCGACGGTGAAACTGAATGACGATACGAACACGGACTATTCCCCACAGAGGACAGTGACATTGGAATCTTTCGGATACCTACAACGTGCAACGAACGTGACGACCTACGAGGACTTTGCTGACCAGACGGATACGCTAACGAGAACATTTACCGACAACTACAGACTACCACTTATAGAGACGGACATCAGACACATTCGCAAGTTGGTAGCTACCCTAAAAATCCATCATAGGGCCGCTAGGAATATAAACTTAATTAGGACAAGCCTTAAAAGTTTTTGCAGGTATACTAGACTTTAATGATATGGAGCAAGTAAAATTCAAACAAGAGCAACTAATAAAAACAGAATTAAATATCAAATTCCAAAAACTTTCGCAATTAATCAAATTAAAAAAAAATTCCAGACAAAAAAAGAAACAATTTAAAAAATTCGAGACAAATAAATAACGAATTAAAAAAATTCACGGTAAATAAGGAAATTTACTCTAATGGGCTTGACCCTAGCAAAATTAAATATTGTAAGATAGCTCCGACATTGGCGAATTTAAAGACAAGCAGCCTATTAACATTAGCTTAATAGAAATTTTAGAAGTACCTATCATAAGAGTTTTTCAAAATTCCGATATCATTAATTTTCTCATTAAATTTCCTAATCCTAAGCTTGTTTGTAAGAAGATAACAGTCTATCCGGTCCAGCACCACAACAAGATCCTAGACTTCGAAAACGGTCGCTGAGTGCTCGGGACGAAACCTCAACATCGGGTATTGCAAGACGTCAGTCGGGCGCCACCTTCTGCAAGAAGCTCCAAAATGACATTTGTGCTCAGGAAAGGGTTTCTGGAGTTATTGCGCACTGTTCTACGCTCCCAGGTCACCTGGATGCAATAACTGTGGTAGACCACGGCACCCTCATATCCAACGAGGCCAACATGACCATAACCGATGACCAAGGACGAGACCAAAAGATATCTGGAACGTACCTGGTAACTTATTCAGACAGAATAAACCTAAACGGAACTTGGTTCGTAAACCAGCTTGGAGATTCGATGAAAAATCCCGCTGTGTCGGCCATGACCATGGTCAACATCGCGACCCACCAAACTTGGCTGAGCCCTCCGTTTCTGCACGAGCTGAGTTTGAGAAACCTCCACCACATTGGGACCCTTAGGGAAGAGCTTTCCTTGGGTTCCTTCGTCAGCTATTCCCTCGCTATACTCGGCTTCCTCCGGCTGTGCTCCACCATTTACCTCAGCTACCACCACCTAAAGATCAAAGCCCATGCCAAATCAGGAATTAACGATGACTTGGAACTATCGACCACCACTAAAAAAAGGAGAAGTTAACACACCAATTTCCCAAATTGGGAAACTGCCGAGTTTCGGGCCACATCCGGTGGCCAACACACGGAATAGGGAAACTGCCCACTCTGCACTCTGGACAATCACCCGGAGCCCGGTCAGAAGTGGTCAACACGCGCAATGAAGAAACCGCCGACTCTGCACTCTGGGGGCAATCACCCAGAGCCCGGCCAGAAGTGGCCAACACGCGCATTAAAGAAATCGTCGACTCCGCAGGCTGGGGACAATCCCACGGTTCCCGTACAGAACACCTGTGGAGCGAGTGATCGTCAGGAACCGGATATCCAATACTGATCCGGCACCTTGGCGACAGTGCTGCGATCAGACGAAGGCTTCTAGCTGCAGCCGGATCAGATCATTAAGTTAGTCTAAAATCGTACTCCGCAACTCCGTACTCCCATAGCTGTGTAATAAATAATTATTATAAAACCATTTATACTATCCTTTACCTTAACAGGTTTAGGGGAAATAAAAAAGTGAAAGTAAGAAAAAACAAGAGGAAACGCTATAGTCGAGTGCCGCGACTATAAGATACCCGTTACTATTTTACACAATTTTAAAATATTCATTTTGCTAGTGGAAATTCCCCAAGCGCAACCTATTGTCGGAGAAAGCATGTCGACTAACTGATAGTGACGTCACTGCCCATGTGAGGCCTTATAACCTTAATTTCTTCATAAGTAAAAAATCTTTGGTAAATCGATAGATATTAACAGAAATAAGTTATACAGGGTCAAACGAAGACATTCATAATAATATTATAGACGCCACAGTTTTCCGCGGTTTGTGGGCGTGGCCGGATGCAACTTCGTGGGATGTTGCAGAGGCATATATTAAATACGTATTCTTAAAACTTTGTAGGTCTTATGGTTTCCGAGATTTTTGCATTTTGGGTTTTTCGGGGCTTGTGGGCGTTAGAGGGGGCGTGGCTTGAAAACAATTCGCATATATATATATATATTTATATATTTATTTATAAAAAAGCATACTAAATAAAACTGAATTGTTTTATAGATTTTTAACAAGGCAATAGGGGTTCAGAAAGGTCAAATGGCTGTGGAATGTTTGCTTGAATTCGGATCGAGGATGCGCTCTAAGAC